AGGTGCCAGGACACACGTCGTTTGCTCAGATGGTTTCCCGCCTCTACGTATCGGCAGCCATGGAAATGTTGCAATGTGTAAGCGTTGTTTGTTCTTGTGAGGGGTTGTTTCGACAGGAAACAGAACCCCCCTCCCCCACCCCAATCTTCGTGACTCCTACTGCAATATCTCGGGAGCCCGGGCGCGAAGTAGTGTCGCGACCAACCAGGCCGCGAGCTCACCCATACCCCTCGGCAGCGCTTGGCGGCGGCGGCGGCGGGGTATTACGAACTGACAGGGGGCGTAAAAAAGTATCAACGGCATGCAGATCACGCATTTGGCTGTTCACACTTGCGCGCGCACTTGCGGTGTCGGAGAAAGAAGCGGCGCCGTGGTGGTGCTTTCTCCCCCCTGGTGCTGCAGGGACACGGCCGCCGCGCGCCAATGGTGGGATTGGCGGGATGAGCAGCTGGGAGGAAGGGGGTTAAAGGGGTCATGATTTGACGCCCTGCATGAGGCTATTTGCTGTGCAATCCTTGAGACAAGTGGTTCGGCTTGACCCGTACCACCCTGGCCCCCACTCGGCTACGCGGATGAACAGGAATGAACAAGGGTGGAATGACGTACGTAAAGGACTGGAGAATATGTAGGTAGCCACTAGTAGGGTCGCCGACTAGGGTCCGGCGAAAAGGAGGTTCGCCGAGTAGGGTGGGCGAGGCGAGGAGGGTGGGGGAGGAGGAGGGTCCGCCCCATCCTCCGCGTACGCTTGTTTGAGCTCGCACCACTCCATCACTCGGTGTCGCTTAGGTGTTCATTATTTATAGCGAACGCACTACGTGTAGAAAAATCGGCGACCTTCCTCTCGCCAAACCCCACTCGGCGACCCTCCTCGCCGGACCCTACTCGGCGACCCTCCTTTTCGCCAAACCCTACTGGGTGACCCTACTAGTCGCTAACTACATATCCTCCTGGTAAAGAGCAGCAGCTCGCGACCCAGCCCGTCGTGCCGGGTGCTCCACTGCGGCGGCGACCCGCGCGAGCATCGACGCCGAGGAGTACCCGCGTCGAGGGCGCCCGGCGCGGGGCCCGGGGCGGGGCCCGGGGGGCAGGTGGCGAGGCGACCTCACGCCTCACGCCTCACGCATCGGCCTGGCGTGACGTAAGGCCGGGCCGCGGGGCCACCGCGAGGCCGCGTGCGTGGAACCTCCGTGTTTGACAAAGAAAAAGTCCGTGAATGCACTGCTGCGGGGCCTGCCCGGCCAGGGCGGGGCGGGGCCGGCCGTCAGGCCGTCGTGGTGGTGGGGAGGGGCGGGAGGGCGCCGATGCCCCCGGGATGGCCCCCCGAGACCGGGCTTCGCTTTCGATGGGTGCAAACAATCTGTCAAACAGGAGCCCGGCCGCCGAACGGGCACTACTTCGCAGCGATCCGAGCGGCACTGTGCGCGCCACAGTGGTGCCACCGGCACCACCACGATGACGGCTCCGGCGTGTTTCAGAGGACGGTGCGCCTGGGCTGGGCGGCCGCCGTGCTGGTCGGCGTCTCCTGCATGTTCTCCGTGTCGGTGTTCTACCAGGCCGGCCACGCCTACAACCCCCTGGAAGCAGCGCTGTACGCCTCGCTGCACCGGCTGGGCTGGTGCGTCGCCACCTCCTGGGTCATCTTCGCCTGCGTCACGGGCAACGGCGGTAAGGAGAGGACGGCGATGTAGTGTCGGGCCACCCGTGCGCCCCGTGCTCAGCTCGGTGTTCCTAAAGGTGTGCCTCTCTGCTCAGGCGTGATGCAGCGCGCGCTCACCTGGCGGCCGCTGGTGCCGCTCAGCCGCCTGACGTACTGCGCCTACCTGGTGAACGGCGCCGTCGTGCTGTGGGGGGTGGCCTCCGTGAGGCAGCCCCGCACGCTCTCCACGCCCACCCTGGTGAGCACCCGTCTGCACCTGACTATACTTTATCGACTGTCACAATCAAGCGTCAATATTATTTTCTATTCTTTCAGGCAATGGAGGTCGTTGCACAAATTTTCGCCACCTTCCTGGGAGCCCTCATCCTCTCCCTCATGTTGGAGTCACCTATCCATGGTCTTGAGCGGGCTCTCCTTGGAAGATGTAAGGTTTTGTTTCAGTTGAAAATTAATTAAAATAAGAACTTTGCGACCGGTGAGCACTTCTTGCTGTCGTGGGGTGGGTGGGCATGACGATTACATTTCGTATTGAGACATCACGTAAGTATGGCGGGGAGAGGGCGGAGGGCTGCATTGGAGAAAAGGGAATTAGGGGGAGTGTGGTAGGTTGTCTACTTTCAAGGGGCGTGAATGCCTCATCAAACCTCTGTTACAACGAGACGAAAGTAGTTTTGAGCGCAGGTTTCTGTCTGTCCAGCTCAGTCCAGCTGCTGACGGTGTGTGTGCCACCCCGGCCGCCCCGCCCTGCACGTAGTGTCTAGCGAGCGTACAGGTAATCAGTGGGTTAACAGTCGAATGGCCGATGTTAGAGACAGTCTCGCGTTATTTCCTACTTTTTCAAGATTCTACCGGCTCTATTCGATTTTTCGCGTAAAATGCGCTTTTTATTATGAACAACAACATTTAAGAAGGCAAACTAAAATCGAAGGTGATTGGCAAAATTGCGGAAACGTAAGAAATAACGTTACACGTTTTATTTCGGACTCATATCAAGTATAAGTATAAAACTTCACGAGAAGTCACGGGTGATTGTTATAAGATACACTTTTACTCAGTGAAAAAGAGGTGGAAATCTCAAAACTTCCATGATTATGCCTTCAATGTAAATTTGTTTAGCCATGAACAGGGATGTTTATAAGAAGTTGCTGGTCTGGTTTCGTTCCGTATTTCGCACTCCAAGGGACAGAACATTGTCATCTCAACTAACAGAAATTACGTCCATACGGCAAGAACGCCTCCTACGTTTCCAAAATGTTGACCTGTACTAAAGGATCGGCTAGAAAGTACGTCCGCTTTTTCTCATATTTATTCGGCAAATTGCGTGAGTTTGGCGCCTGCGAGACTCAGGGTCGGCCATCCCGCAGCACTCACATGCACTCCAGGCAAACTGTTGCCTACCTATCAGGCGCTATGAGAACACTCACAGGCTAACTTGTAGGTTCGTCACGGCTAATGACGGACTTACTTTCTAGCCTGCCTGCCATAGCGCCGAGGGTGGGCGGCATGTTTCGCACAGCTGCTTGGCGGGTTTGGGCATGGGCCTACCCAACCTGGTGCAGGCGCTGCCCTAAGCCTAGCCTGAACCGTTACTTGATCTGACATGGCTCACATTCTGTGGGCGAAAGCAGAAATCTTTTGCATGTCGGGACATAGTTTAAAAGGTTCCTCCTCAACGTGACCCCACAACGAACCTTTCAAGAGACGACGCTAAAGATAGCGCCTGCCACGCGCTGGGTAGGCCCTCCCGCCAAGCAGCTGTGTAAAGACGGCGGCCCGCCTGCAGCGCCCAAGTCTGGGACCCTAACCCTAACGCCTCTTCATTGTCCCTCGCGCCCACTTAAGGGCGCCCACGTGACCTTTAGGGTATGGGTGCGACTCCATTGGGAGACGGGAATGGACCAAGCTCAAAGCCTGCACTTTTGCCCATTTGTGAACTGCGAATAACCAACTTTAAGAAGTTTTTGATGGCACCATTTTACTGGATGTTTCTTTAATATATTTTGAATGTTTTGTAGATCGCAATGGAGATAAATCCGATAAAAACGCCGATGAAGAAAACAAACAACATACATCAAATGACCAACACAATTCAGAAGACCAAGCATCGTCACAACTTTAATAACAAATCTTGCCCCTAGTACTCCTTTTTCGTAATTAAGAATTGTAAATCAAAATAAAATTCGAGGTGGATTTTCTATTTTCTGATGTTGTTTTTTTCAATCTAGACTTGACACACATTTCCAGGCGCGTTGTTAAAGTACGTCATGAAGTTCTCAATTGTGCACCTCCTGGATGATCCTGGTACTGTCGCCTAGTCCAGGATATCCCCATCTCGCCCCCCAGACACGGGGGGGGGGGGGGGGGGGGGGGGGGGGGGGCACAATGAGAGGGAGGCGATGCTGTAGGCGATGCTGTAGGCGATGCTGTAGGCGATGCCGAGGGCGATGCCGAGGGCGATGCCGAGGGCGATGCCGAGGGCGATGCCGTGCGGCCAGGCCGTGCTGGTCACCCGTGCCGACAGGGTTCAACCACTTTCATGCGAAAACAGCTGCAATAAGACGATCTCAAGCGTAGCACCGCGCGGGCTGCCAGCACCGCCCAAGCGCTTGGGCCCTTCCCAGTCAGAAATGGCATGTCGTAACATCGTCATTTCGACGTCGTTGGTCGAACCGGAGGTCCAAAAATACGTCGAAACGATGAGTTTTTCGACAAGGTTGGCTGGCTGGCTGGCTGGCTGGGTGGGTTGGTGCCCCGGGCCCGGGGGCGGCCCGGGCGTCTCCCGCGCCCAACGTAAATAAACAACAGTGACAATCTTCTGCTCAGTACCGATAATACCTACCCAAATTTACCACAGGATTTTAATTATTCAGTATTTCAGGGTGGACAGCGTCCGACAGCGTCGCTTTTCGATATTAGTCGCAAGGGATAGTCATAGACCTAGGTCATTGCTGGTGTCCGTGTCCGGGCCGGAATATTGAATTGTTATGTTCCGGTTATAGTAGTTAGTTTGTAGGAGGTTGCGTGCTCCAGTCAGTCGCTGAATTTTTAAACAAGGACGCTGTAAGTTATTTTCGGAGCTAGAGTAAATGATGCCCGTTATGTAAACTTGGCTCACTGTGAGCTTGGTTGAAAACGTGTTGAATAGGTACGTACACCCTTCCATGCAGTATGTTAAATACTGTTCTAGGTCATTTACAAATTAATGGGTGTGCAATCAGTTTATTATATCTTATATTTTACTCTGTGTTATTCTTGTGAATCAGCAAACTGTATTACTTCTGGTTGCGGTGCGTGCTTTCTTAATAATCGGAGTGTTTTATAGCTCTATTTGTGCACAAATTTTAAGGTGTTTAGGGTATTACATGTAATACCCTAATCAATCAATCAATCAATCAATGTGCGTTCCCTTAAAAATTAAGAGTCAAAGTGTCAATTAAGCTGAAAGTAAGTGGCACTGGTTCCAAAGGAGTATTGAAGCGGTGAATATTAAGCGGCATTAGGGACTGGCACAGAAGTGCCCATCAAGGGGTGAAGAACTGTCATATAAAGTTGTATTTTAAGTGGCATTAGAGTGTCACTGGAAAGTTACCCAGGAGAACATGTTTGTCAAAATAATGTGAAAATGACCTCATTTTGACCCTCATCGTCAAAATTTACTGCGCCTAGGTAGCCAGAATGAGCTTATTTTGACGTCAAACGAGGGTCATTGACGAGTTCTTGACTATTGTGTTCTACCTGGGTAGCTCTTACTGAACCAGCATGCCAACAAAGCCATAGTCTGGACGCTACCTAGACAATTGCCTGTTTCAGAGGCGATGAGTGTAGATACTTGTCATTAGTAAGGTCTACGAGTCCCTGCTGGGAACTTGTGGAACTTACACAACAGCAGTCTGTACGTAGTGTAGAATTTCAACAGCTTTGCCATTTCAGATCCTTAACTTCCTTGGCACTTGCTCGGCACTTGCTTACCACTTCAATGCACCTTAAAGCGACACAATCCACTTAACTGCTACTTTACTAAGTGGCAGCTAAGTGCCCCTTAACTGCCACTCTGCCCCTTAATTTATGTGCAGAAGGATATGTTACTTACATTTAATGCTTGAGTCCAGTGCCAAATTACTTGCTTGAGAGACCATGTTCATTCAGAGTATGAGGGGAGAGGCATTTAAATTTGTGTTTTATGACTAAATTGTATGTAATTAATAGTTCCATGATTGTTGAGTAATAAATGAAAGCAAGCATTAAAGTTTGGCGCAAAACTGATTCCGATGGAAATAAATTCCTTATTTCTGATACGAAATGGTTCCGATTTGAAAAAAGTTGTCCTGGAATTGTAAAGTACAAGAAATCTCTGCATCAGGAATAACCATATATAAGTCTTAACTGGAAGAGAAAAAAAGAATGCACCACTACCAGAGCTAGAAGTTTACCAGAAAAGAAACACACCATGTCCCATCTCTGAAGAGAAGAAGAAAGATTTGTTGAGCCTGTTAGACCAAATCAATCCTCTTTATCATGACTTCTACAAAAAATTGCCATGTGATAAAAACCTTGCTGATGAAGACCCTGACCTACCTCTGGAATATAATGTAGCTGATGAACTTGAAGGTATGGCTTACTTCTCATAAGTAAAATTGCTTTTACCATGATGTTACCAATTTGATAATAAGTATGCATTTAGCTGTAATACTTTGTTTGTTATTTTGTTATATATAACTCTGTTTTTATTGATTGATTTTTAAAGTTTAAGTGAAAAATTCAAATAGAATGAAAGATTTTGTATATTTATATCTGTCTTAAGCTATGGTTGGATGATTTCTTGTAACAACTTTTCTGGTTGTGACTATCTATAATCCATTTTATTTGATAATTCTTTTTTTCTAAGTATACATGTGCCTTGTCTATATGTGCTTCCTTATTTTCTATACTGAAATAATTCATTATTGATTTATTTAAAAGATCTAGGTCTAATTTGCTATTTTGATTCCAATGAACTGCACACACTTTGCTATTGATACTCTATAAATTCCTCATTTCTTAGTCAAAAGTTAAAACTTATGCATGTTTCATTTCCTTGTAATTTTTCTGGATTGTTTCAAGTATACCTTCTTCCATGTCTCATTATTTTACTTGATATGGAAGTATACAGAAATATATGTCAAAATTCCTATCTCATGGAATTGAGAATTCTTATCAAAATATTAGATTATGGTAGGTGAAGAAGCAAGACTGGAAACAAGTAAACACCTCGGGACCAAAAGACTGAAATTTTATTACTTTAAAATCACATCAAATAATTTAGTTGGAACGGGTTTTGGCCACACCATTGTTCTTGTCCACACTCCTTGCTGGAACAAAATAGAAAGACAAAGTAATTAACTGATTCAATTTCATATGAGTTTGTTGTTAAGAATTAACTTCTGACTCCTCACTTCAAACTGCAGCAGCACTCAAGTTTTCTGCCTTCGCGTTCAAGTGAAGACTAGAATAGTTAAACTTGTCAAAAGTCAGTAGCCGATATCCAACTTTGATAGAGATATAAGGAAGGACATACAGAACAAACAATGAGCAGAAGATAACAAATTATTTAGTAACAAAAGACTACGCATTTTGTTTTCTTTAAAAATAGAAGTATCTGATACTTAGGTACTTACATTTCCTAGCTGCTGCTATGTATGGATGTCAAGCTGAACTCCTCCTATATACTGACAACTACTTGAGGTTGAAGTGATTCCATGATGGCCTCAGTCTCTGAACAATGGTCCAGGGGACTATGTAGTCTTTCTTTGCGGCTGCTAATCTCAGAAAAAGACAGCAGAAATGTGAGACAAAATTTTATTTTTAGAAAGTGGAAGTGAGAAACTATATCCTAAGAATATAATTGATTCATTCATGACAAACATTGAACATTATGCTTAAGGGTGATGTGGAGGTTCCTTCCTTGATTCTACGCAATGAGAATTAAAGCTGAGCGTGGGGCGTTCCAGAGAATGTCTGTCCCACTGCGTACCTGAAACCACAATCAAACCACATTAGCCCTCAAAGTGATATACCGAGATATATTTTAGGCACACTGCATATGACAAATCAAGGGAAAGTTGTCAGAGCTATTCAAATTTAACAAATAGGAAGACATCAACAAAAATCAAGCAGCAATGTACACATCCACTATTTTTGTTATTTTTGTGAAAAAAAGCAGCACTGTAGAAAAAATGAGGGAACGATAATGAGAGCAAACTAGGAAAGGCGGTGATGACATTAATTTGCTCAAGAAAGCATAAGCGATGTCTAAAACCAAAGTCATATCGGTGCAAGCAGAAAAATAATTGGAAACCAATGTGACAAAGCGGGGTTATGATGACTCAAACACCACAAATGCAAACGGGCTGAGAAAACAAAAGCGACTTCCAGGTGGAGGAGACTTACACTCTCATCGTGTAGAATCGAAGAAACGGACTAACATCGAAACTATGGCAATAAACACCATTTGTGAAAATATTGTGTTTTTGAATGCGTGAGAAAAGAATGACCACGGAGTATGACGGTCGCTTATCCGCAGTTGCTCTGGGCATAACGCACCGTCGGGCCGTCGGGCCATGGGGTATTTCCAGGGGTTTGTGACAAGGCGTATCGCCAGCAGAAGAGGAGAATAGGAGAACCTGGAGAATCCGAGCTGTTTTGTTTGTGTCGTTTCGGTCGAATGACTTTGTGAGTCAGTGATTCTTGTGTACCTTCAGTATGATGTTGTTCATGACAAGTCTGCGTCAGAGAGGCAGACATTCCACAAGTCGCTGCCTCGATAACGTATTTACGAAATATGGATAAGCACCTTCTGAAAAAAATTGTGAATGCCAATACCTAACTAACCTGGTGGAGAGGTTACTCTTGCCATGCCGGGTCACTGTTGGGAGATGAGGTCATCCAATGGCACCAACAGGAGAGGCAAGGTCAGAACAAAGTTTAATCATCAGTTAGTTGCAAGTAGTTTACTACAGAGACTAACTTTTTGCTTTCATTGTATGTTGCCGTCAAGTTTAGTGGAATCGTTTAAAGGTTCCTGATTTATCCATTCATGTTCTGAGCAAAGGGTCGCAAGTCTACTTACACCTTAAACCATTTTATTAATAATGTGGCATAGGGTAGCAACTAGGCATACGACATGTCATGTCTCTAAGTATCTCAAGCCAGTTGGCGCAAGTGGACTTGTGACAGTTGTCCCATGAAATGAATGTCTACTTTAGGGTTACGACGGTTTTCACAACTCTGTACTCCCCTTCCTAACTCTGAGGAAATTTTTGACTGAAGCTAAATTGTGTTGGTTGACCTGCTGAATATGAATCAATTGAAAAGTGACTTTGTGACATAAGTCAAGTTATGACAGTTTACCCAAATGCCACAGAGTTTGAGAAACTATCTCTTAAAAGTCAAGTTTCTGTGGACATGGTTGGTTTCTGGCGGAGGTGAGTCTCCTCTGACCTCCGTTGTCGACATTGCGTGCTTCCTGGCTCTTTTACATCCTGTTTCTTCGACTCAAACTGCCTCTTTGGTTTGTTGCAGGAAGATCGGCCTGGAGGTGTTCCTGTCCTGAACATCAGCCGTGCAGCCCATGATTTCATCAGATATAAGGTGAGTTGGCGCCACAGTGATAATCGTTGGTCTAGTTATTTTTAAACGAACCCGTTAGGATCGTTGCTACCCGACAGCGTGGCGCAGGGCGTCATGGTTCAACACCACCTGTTGCATTTCCGAGCCGCGTCTGGGTAACAGCCCAACATTTGCTCTGCGAGTAGGCCCCACACGCGCTGCCCAGCGCCCACGCTAAAAATGGTTTTCAGTTATAAAACATAGTGCAGAAAGTTATCGCGCAAAAAAACACGCATCAAACTACATTCGGTGCAACAGTTATTAACAGATTATATATTATATTAACAGAATTGTTAACGGTTTTTAGCAGATGATGAGTAGTTATCATCAGCTTGTACTCTCGTAAAGTTGTAAGCTCGACAGTGAAAGCGTAAAGTAGTCGCAAGTCGAAGCAGCAGCCTGGTTGAAACCACGGTGGCGACACGAACGCCGCCCGCAGCGCCTCTGAGCGTCGCCCGCCGCGGCCCCCAGTCGCGCGCGGCGGGTTGTCCTCAACTACGGATAAGGAGGTGCTCTCCTCAGCGTACAGCACACCGTTGGATGCAACATAAATTCGTTTTAAAGCAACAAGGTAGTAATCTGTTTGTTAAAATTTTGTTAATACCACTATTGAGTGCCGCCAGCCTGCTGTGGTGTTATTGTTGTTGAGGTTATGATCAGCTGAGCGCTACCCAAGGCAAACGTCGATCGAACGATGCCTTTATTATGACCTCTTTAGGACTGACGAGCTTACGAGGTTGCGAGTATGACACTAGTGACCTGACTGTTGACATTAGAAGTACGGAAATCGGGTATGTGCTCTGAGGACACAGCTCCTGCGCCGAGCGCCGATGCCATTTTCGGCAAACTTGTCCATGCCATTCCTAAACGGGAGGTCGGATCGAGTCGGACGAAAGGTCATTCGAAAGCCCAAAGAATACCCTTCATTCGCCTCGCTTACACTTCCTTAGTAAAATCAATAGGGAAGCCGCTAGAAGAGAAAGCCCGAAGCCGTGTAATTTGCGCATAATTCGTTTATCGCCGCTTCTCCCGAACAAGAAGTCGGATCGGGTCGGACAAAAGCTGAATCGACTCCTCTAATCAAGCCCTTTAATTTCTGTCCTCACAAAAAACCATGAAAACGAACGGGAAGGCCGCTAGGACCATTAAACTCCAAGCGGCCCATAGCGCGCTGTGGCCCGGCCGGCCCACTATCCTGGGCGGTAGGCAACCCGCCGCGCGCGACTGGGGGCCGCGGCGGGCGACGCGCTGGCAGGCTCCGTGTCGCCACCGCTGGTTGAAACGCAGTAGCAGCCATCCCATATACTGGTGGAGTGCGGCTCTCCTCGCGTGCCCCCGTGCGTGCGTGCGTGCGTCCGGCCTCGGTCCTGTTCAGACTATTCAGTGCTGTTCAGTGCTGCTCAGACCTCGGTTCAGACAGGCGTCAATGAACAGCCATAAATGCTTCGGTCGCAGCTTGACCGACGACCTCGTAAAAAAAAAGTTCCGTTCAGGAACGGATCGTGAAAGCAGATGATACGAATTCAAGAATTATTCCAGTCTATAATATTTCAGTGGGAGATCAAGGGACGCATTACTTGCAGAAGTACACAGGTAATTCACATTCCATGGGGATGGCGGTATGAGAAGCTCGGGGTAGAGTGCGCTAGTGAGGGAGATCAAACACAGGGGCGCGCCATTCAATCTACGGTACATCGGCCCGAATGACGGCTCTTGCTTAATGTTGACGCCTCATTTCCACCGTTTCTCCTCTTCAGAAATTGCATGCATGTCTATTTTCCCCATTACAATACAAGAACGCCCAAATTTCCATCATTTTACTGTTCGAACTGACACTTTTTTCATGCCTCTGTTCCCCATGTATTTCAACGGGGGGAGCTCGCGCGCGAAGCGAGAGTTGATCTCACCGCTCAC